ACAGGACAATCAACAGTGTCTAAGAATCCTCTCCACGTGTGGAGCATCCCATCTTCCGCGTGTTAGGTGATTTCAAAAACCAGCTGCCCCATTGATTTAGTTGCATTTCTTTGTCAGTTTTGATAGACATTTTTCTCCTTATACCAATGACCCAATAGTCTTCTTTTGGGGCTAATTGTACACTGATGCCCTTAACCATATAGCCTTTGGGCTCATGAACTTTTCTTAGGCTCTAGGCATGCTTGTTGTGAATGGGATTTAATTTTATTTACATTTGCACAACCGTTTTCCTACATTTTTAGATGGTCGGACCTATTTGTCTATTCACGTCTGTGGTTCTGTCTCTCAAGCTGGGAACAACCTTCCTTGACCATCCAGGGACTTCAGAACTAATCCCACTATTTCCTTCGAGTCTTATTTAAGTGTGATCCTTCCCCGCTTTCAAGGTAAAGCTCGTGAAAATCATTTCAGTTGTCCTTTCTTGTGATGTCTTTGCGGTATTGTATTCGGGACAAGGTGAGAATCTCAGGTAGCTTTGAACCCAAAACAGAGAGCAGTTAATTCTAGTACATCACTGGTTATGTCTGGAGACAGAGACAACTTGATTTCACTTTCCTCTTGCTTAAAAAAAAAGACATTTCTTAATGTCTTACTTTGAGTTACCAAGTGAAACGGTCGGTTTTGTAGGTTCTGAAATGCAACGGACTTGGAACGTACAGACTTTTACATGCTGAGACTGTAGGAATCGGCAGGAAATCCCATAGATACATTACATACAGAATGATGAATGCTTTTCCCCAACTTCCTCCTAAAGCTTCGGTCTCACTTACTTTCTAACCATCACTATTATTCTCTGGCTAAAGTATGATCTTTGAAGTTCAGGCTCCGAAGTCCAGTTGGCCACATCAACTTCCCTTTTGGAATGAAGGATGGTTATTTCCAGAGCATTTTACATTTTGCAAAGCGCTGTCCACCTGCATGCCTTCAGGATCATGACTTAGATTTTCCATAAACCATTCCAGCATCTGAGAGGTAAAAACTCTGGACCTATTTTGGCTGAGGTGTAAATTCAGCATCTTCTCATTACCCGCCGGTCTAGCCCAGACCACGTTACCACTTGCTCTGCTCTTGCAAGCGCTCCAGAATAAATAGGCACGTTTAGAAGCATTCCTTTTAGAAGTCAATGCTCCGTACGTGAATAAGAGCATCTTGTAAGTTTTTAAACTGCCACGTTTTCACACGTGGATTTGTAGAGAGGGTTTTGTTTTATTTTAAGGACTGGCATTGGATTGATTTACCTAAATCGGCAGTTACTTGACCTGCCCGTTTGGAACCACCACCCCCTCGGCCCGGGAATGGTGCATGCTAGCTGCATGTTGAGAACGTCATGTCTGTCCCCAGAGAGGACATTTCCCCGTCATTTTCTTCACTTAGCTTGAAACATAAGTGGAGCCCGGGCACTTTTTCGAAGGGAATCTGGTGCTGATGCAAAAAAGGCAGTCCTAGGTGCATGAAATATCTCCAAAGAGCCAGTGGCTGACATACAGGACTTGGTCTGCTTCTCTCTAGAGGCTGTTTGTGAACCGTGATGATTCACGCGGTTCACACCGCAGAGCCTGTGACCACAGCGGTTATACTTATAATTATAAAATAAATTTCATCATCTCCTGATTCATCATGAGCGGCCTGGCCACACCCACTGGGGCACAGGGGTCTGGGACGGTCACAGAAGACCCACTGGACACGGAGATGCGCGCCGCAGAGGGAGACCGCCTTCCCAGCAGGGAGTGGGTACAAATGCCTGACTCACTCGAGAGGAAAAGAGCAAGCTCCCATAGATGGCTTTATAGTGGCTCATGGAAAGAAATGGGAGTAAATGCACACGGCCTGGGAAATGGCCTATTATATTCCCACTGTGCAGTGGGAACCCGGTAAAAGCCTGCGTCTGAATTAGGGTAAAAGCTCACTGCTGAAAGCTGAAACCTACTCCTGTAAGTAAGCACCTCTTACTGCCTGCCTTCCAAGACCGAGTCCTAAGTGGGCAGGCCATCAGGCGATGAATGATACCAAATTGCCATCTCTGGCTGAATCCGGATGGGAAGTGACTCCTACGTTGTCTAAGGACCTCTTTCCAGAAGTCCTGGGAAGACCTCTTCGGGCTTGGTCAATGAACAAAGACATCTAAACACACCATACAGACTTCCAAAGTATCTGTTTACAGGAGTAAGCGGCAATTTATATAGACACATGTAACTCAGAATATATACATATGTAGTTATATGCCAGTATGTGTTTATAAATATAAATTGTAGTGTCTGTGAAGGGGGTTGAACAATACTTGCAGAATGTACATATTAGAATACATTTAGAATCTTTATTTTACAACATGTAATAAAACATATTACTATACATAATGGGCTATGTTAGAATATAATATGTAATATATAGCATCTAATTATAAATTGTAGCCTGTGAAGGCAGATGATGCTTCTCTTAGAATAAATACATACTAATACACACAATATATACACATTAAAATATGTCATGAAATATATTAGAACATTATAAGATATATTAGAATACATTTTATATCCTAAATATGCTGAACACTACTTTTAGAATATACATATTAGAATATATTTAGAATCTATATATTAGAATATGTTATAAAATATATTATTATACATAATGGACTGCATTAGAATATAATATGTAATACAGAGTAATACATATAAATCGTAGTCTGTGCAGGCAACTGAATGTTTCTTTTAGAATATATATATATACTAATGCACATTAATATATACACATTATTCAAATGCATATATCATGAGATATATTACAATGTACTATAAAATTTATTAGAATATGACACATTAGAATAGAATCGTTATACATATATTATAAACTCTGTGAAGATAACTGTACGTTTTCTATTTATTTTAGCCCAATATGTAACACACACACACATATATATAGTGTATATATACACACATCTATGGATACATATACACACATACATGCATATGTACAAACACATGCACATATATTCTAAAAGAAGCATTCAGCACCTCCGCAGACCAGTGCCTAAGTCCTTCGTATTCCAGGAGTTGCATCGGCGTTTTTTCTGAGGTTATAGCTCCTTCTCGGCAGAGGCACGACCTCATTCCTTTGCGTTAGAGGTGTTCACCCACCACATCATAACGCCGCATCATAAGGGCCGTAATGACCCTATAATGCCTAGCTTAGAGGGATTTTTCTTTCTTTCAAGTAATATGCTGTGGTTTCTGAGGAATTTTTATGATCCCTCCAGATGAAAGCTCTTTGGTAACAGCAAAGTATTGTGAAACCTGCCCAAGATGTTTACAGGAAGAGGTAGATACGTGGTCAGGCTCCCGCATGGGAGAGAAAAGGGTCAGATTCAGTCGGTGACCCGGAGTTTAATCCTGAAAGTCTGTCTGTTCCTTTTTCCTCCCTGGGTTTTACAATTAAGAGGGAAAGGTATGTCCTTAATTGGGTGTGAAACCCCAGGCTTCCCCCACCAACCAGCTACAGGGCGCTTCCAAGGTCGAATTCACTCGGAGAGGCCCCGAGCCCCTGGGCCGCGCAACACCCGAGGGGCAGCGTCCCTGTTCCAACCCGGCGCGCACAGCCCGCTCTCTGCGCGCATTTTTCTTATTCCAGCTCAAGATTTGGCAACAGGCGAGTGGAGAGCAGGCCTCACGCCCGGGGAAAAAGGCGACGCACAAAGTACAGATGCGGGTTAGGGCGAGGCTGGCTGCGAGGGGCCAGAACACCACACCCACAGAGGGTTCTGCTTTGCTGTCGACCCCTCCCAGCCGGCCCGGCGAGACGGGGCGTTGCCTGGTCTCCGTAAAAGGCGTCAGTTCTTCTGACTTAGACGCGGCCTGGCCTCTCTCCCAGACCCCAGGCCTAAGGGGCAGGGCACTCCCTGCAAGGGACGAATCCCTGACATCCCTCCCAACCAGGGGGAAGCACTTTGCCCTCTCCCTGCTCAAAGTGTGGTCCGCGGACCGAAAGCCTGCATGCACAGCCCTGGGGGGCTGGCCAGGACCGCAGCTCCCCGGCCTTGCGCACGAGTGCAAGGCCGATATGCATTTTAACCAAACACGGCGGGGCAGGAGGGGACCACATAAAATACAGGATGTCCAGTGGCCTCATTCAGATACACAGTAGGCATTTTACAGTGTGGGACACACACTAGGGATAGAAAAAACACACCCAGGTGTCCCCGGAGCGTTTGAAACGCTGACGCAACAAGCTGCATTTGGCTTTCTACGTGTGAAATCCGGCTCCCCTTATTTTATTTTGTAATGGTGCATTGTTTTTAATTACTATGGACTGAGCCGCAGAGGAACGCCCTGGAGGTGGGGCGCAGCGCCCCCGGCTGCAACTCGGCATCACCGCCGTGCCAGCGCGCAACCAGGAAGCGGGGCGGCGCCGTGGCGTCTTATTCGCCAGACTCGGGGGTTCGTGCGCACCGCGCCGGCTCCGAAGCGCCCTATCCGCGCTCAGCTCCCGGTGCACGAGTATTTTTTAACTTTACTTTGGCTGGAGCCACGCCCTCCTCGGCCCGGCGCGCCCGCGCGTCCCCGGGCACCGCGCGGCTGGGACCCCGGGGGCCGGGGCGCCCCCTCTGTGCGCGGAGCCGTCCCGGCGTCTCCTCGGCCCGGCGCGCCCGCGCGTCCCCGGGCACCGCGCGGCTGGGACCCCGGGGGCCGGGGCGCCCCCTCTGTGCGCGGAGCCGTCCCGGCGGCCGCGTCCGGGCCTGGCAGGCGGGCGGGCGGGCAGAGCGCGGCCCCGCCCAGGCCGCTTCCGCCCGGCTCCCCCGCCCCGGCGCGCACACAGCGCCCGCGGCAGCGGCGGCAAACCCCGGGCGCCAGGAATGAGCAGCGAGCCGGGCGCCCGCGGCCGGGACCCCGCCTCTGCGCCCCCCGCCCGGGCCGCGCCCCCCGCGCAGGCCGCGCCCCCGCCCCCGCCGCCCGGGCCCCCGCGCGCGCCCCCCGAGGCCGCCGGCTACTCCCACCAGCTGCTCCTGCAGTGAGCGCCGCTACCCGCCATTGTCCCCAGCGCGCCGCCGGGCCGCGGGGGGCGCACATGGCCGGGCGCCGCTGATGCCGCCGCCGCGCCGCCCGCCCAGGCTGCGTCCCGGGAAGCCCGGCGCCCCGCGCGCCCCGGACGTGAGCGCGTCCCCATGGAGGCGCCCGGGCCGGCCGCGGCGGGCCCCGAGCCCCCGGAGACCCGCGCAGAGGCCCCCGACGGCGCGCCCCAGCCGCCCGCCTACCGCCTGCAGGACTTCGACACGCTGGCCACCGTGGGTGAGTGCGGCGCGCTGGGGCCGGCGGCACACAAAGGGCTGCGCCCTGCCCGGCACGCCTGCGCCCTCGGCCCCCCGGCCGCCCCGAGGCCCGGAGGGCGACCCCGGCCCTGCCTCAGCACCTGCGGGCGCCCTGCCCCGCGCCCCGGAAGGCTCCGTACTCACCCCTCCCTCCGTCCAGGCGTCGCTTCCCAAAGCGCCCTGGTGCCCGGGCCGCCCGACGTCGCTTCACAATGGGGGGGACCTCGCGTGCCCCCAGGCCCAGCTCCGCAGGGACACAGACTGGCACTCCGTGTGCACCTGCGGACCTCACCGCGGCCAGCCTCCCCCTCTGCCCTGCTGTTCGGCGTGGATCAGACCCCCTGGGGCCGCAGCAGGACAGGTGTCGGTGGTGGTCGTTATGGGGGGCGGGCGGGGACGGGCTTGCAGACCGATTAGACATCGCCGCGCACGGCGCCCCGTGCTGTTCATGTTGTGTATCCCAAACTAGGCGATCTTGTGTCAGACGGCTCTTTCCCTTTGTTCTCTACCTTTGAACTTGGACCCCACGGGGCAGCTGGAAATGTAAGTTTCCAGTTCCCTGGGCGCCTGGATTCCCCGAAAACGCTGGTTTCTGGGGCTGCCCGGACTGGGTCAGAACAGCCCACCCCTGTCGGGACTGGAGTCAAGCTGTGGGCACCCAGAGCCCGTGGCCCGTTGGCAACTCTGTTGCTGAAGGAGTGCGGCTTGTCTGGAAGATAATCGGGGTGGAGGACAGGCCAAGGGTGACCGTGGGGCAGAGCTGTTCAGGGACTTTATTGGGTTCCCCCGCGCATCGTTTGGAAAGGAGGGGAGCCGGGGGCAGTGGGCTCAAGGTCGTGGCCTGTGCTTCGTAACACCAGCAGGCCCAGCAGAGTGGCAGGGAGGCGGCCAGCGGAGAGACACATCTCATGGTCTGTAGTGGCCTCTCTGCCCTCCTTGTGTGGCTGGCTGCGAGGAGTAGGTCGCCAGGAAGCCTCGGGAAGGCTCTCCCTCGGGAAGGCTCTACTGGGTTGACTTAAAAGCTGCCTGTGTTTGGCAGGACGGCAGGGTGGGACAGATACCCAGACCGGCACCCGTACACGGTGGGTGGAAATACCAAGGAACCCTGGAAAATTGGAGGGCCCGCTGCCCCTTGGCTCACAGCAAAAGCAAAGGGGTTTTTTTTTTTTCAAGGCACTGTGCACGGCTCTGATGTGCAAAGGTGCCCGGGCTGGAGGTCAGGGCAGCGTGTGAGTGGGCACAGACATGATGCAGTCTGGCATCTTCCGCCAGGTGGGGGCCCTGTGGGTGCTGCCAACTGGGCGTAGATGTCCCAAGAGTCAGCCTGCCCTTAAAAATAGAATGTCACCGCCTCTGGGGACAGGGCGGGCGGGTGGGGAGAAGTGAACTCTTTCTTCCAGGCGTCTTTGCGTCTCTTAATGAAGAGGATGCTTGTTCTCGAGAAGTGACCTCCTGTGAGCACCTGGGCTGTGCGGGAGGAGCCGGGTCACCTGCGTTTGAGATGTTGGACTAGCACTGGGCGGGGACCCAGACATGTGTATGTGACCCAGGTGTGTGTGTGAGATCCAGGTGTGTGCATGTGTGATGCAGATGTGTGTGTGTGTATGCATGTGCCCAGCCTTGGTAACGTTTTCTGCCTTCTTTTTCCTGAACCTCTTGCCTAAATATCGATTAAAGGTTCACCTGGGTATGATTAAGCTAAGAGACTAGTAATAAGCTTTAAAAAACCAATCTCAGAGCTTCCAGGGCCGTCACTATCCTGTTTCTTTCTGCCCTGCCATCTCTGGCAATTTAGGGTCCTTTGACGAGGTGTGGAGGGTAAGGTGAAGGGTCGGCATAGCTCCCCACCTTCTGGGGGAACCCATCCGGGTGGGCGTGCACCCTGTCCATCCCCAGCTTGCATCTCAGGAAGATCAGCTCCTTTGAGCTGCCCCTTGCTAACTGCCGCCCACCAAACACAGGCACCCAGAGGCTCCTGGACTGTCTTTGGGCGTCTGCTGGCAGTTTCCTGGCTAAGCATGCTCTTCTCCACGACGGGCAATCAACCCACATGCCAAACAGACACAACACAAAAACGCCAAACCTCACCATCCCCGCTGCTTGGAACCTTCTAGAATGAGTCAGCGTAGAAAGACACCTCTGGGGTTGTCCTCTGCCCCAAAGGGCATTTTAAATGCTTGCTTCACACTTTTATGTATTCATTTTATCTGACCTCCCCTGTGTGTGTGTGTCTGTGTGTGTGTGTCTGTGTCTGTGTGTCATGCTTTTCCTCCCCAGCCCGCTCTTGGGGTTGTCATCCCTGACTCTGGCCCAGGGGGAGGTGCCATGGGACAGAATGGCTGAGACAACCGCACGGTTGTGATGATGACATTTCAGCCCCGGCAGAAGGCAGCAGGTGGATACTGTGCCCTCCTGCCTCATTTAGCAGAGCCCACCATGGCTGCGGAGAGGGTGGGCCGTCAGGGAGGTCCCGTGAGCCCAGGACCCCTGTGGGAAACAGCAGCCGAGGTGTCGGGACAGCCAGGATACACTGGTGACAGAAGAGGTCATGTCAGTCCCCCTCATTCTGTACTTTCTGGAAAACTGGCATGGGAACCTGCAGAGCTCTGCGTCCATCTGTGCCTCACAAACCCAGGTAGTCGGGGAGAAATCTCAGCTCACGTTGCTGGGAAGTCACATGCTGGCATTTTTTTTTTTTTTGGAGCAGAACAAGATCATACATACATTGAGAAACCTGGGGTCCCAGTGGCCACACCAGCCATGAGAGAGGAAGTGCTTCTGGTCCATGTAACCCAGTCTGATTTCTTCCCTCGAAGACCCCTAATGCTGCTGTTAATGTGATAAGACTCACGGGGCTCCGAAGCTGTACCTAGAGTCCTGGGTCCCTTTCAGGCAGCTTCCCCCGCGGTGACATCGAATGTAGCTACGGTTTTTTCTTTCCACATCACACGATTGGAAAATTGTGTTTTCTGAACATCTAGGAGACTTTCCATATTGAATCATTCATGATAGACGATTCTCTCTCTCAAGCCCTTGTCATCCGTTTCCTCCACGGTGATGGGATTTTCTCCTGTGCGCTTGGTTCCCCTGAGTCGGTCCTATTTTCACTCCGTCCGTCCTGGGCTGCTACTTACCACCACCCCATCCCAGCAGCACAGCCCCAGAAGGAGTCTCAGGGGTGCTGTGGACATAGCAATGGGAAGAGTGTCGTTCATTGCTTAACGGCACAGAAAGCTATGCCCACCCTTTTAATCCCGTTCGTCCCCCATGGGTGCTTTAAGGTGACTTTATTGCGTATGACTGTTTCCCTTGAAAACCATCCCAGGAACTCCAAGAATTAGTTCAAATTGTAGAAAAGAATATTTCCAGGTACAGAAATACTGCAGGTTCTTCATTTTTTAAAAAAAAATCGAGATGACATTCTCATCGTATAAAAGGAGCTGTTTTCAAAGGAGCCATCCAGCAACATTTTGTATTGTCACAAAGTCATGCAACCATCACCTCTTGCCTAGGAGACCTCGACCCCATGAGCCGTCGGTCCCCATCTTTCCCCCTTCCACCCGCCCCCATGCCACACATCTGCTCTCTGTCTGCATGGATATGTGGGTCCTGTTTTCCTGTTAATTGTACAAATGGTGCTCCTTTCACAACTTTTCATCTCCAAGGGGATGAGGGGCCAGTGGGAAGAAAGACAGTGAGAGGCCATTTGCAGCCTATTGTTTCCCAGCTCAAGAGAGGGGAGAAGAATGTGGGATGGCAAAGGTCAGATGGGGACAGGGCAGGACGTAAATGTACCGAGTGACAGAGGAGCAAACATCAGATGCACAAAACCCGCTGCCCTGGGCTCAGTAGTGTCACCCCAAATTCATGCCTTCTCGGGACCTCAGATGGAGCCTTGTTTGGAAACAGTCTCTTTGCAGATGGGATGAAGGGCAGGGTGTGAGATGAATGTCCTGGATGAGGGTGGCCCTGCACCCAGGGACAGGTGTCCTCGTAAGAGACAGGAGAGGAGAGACCCAGACAGAGGCAGTGATGGGAGGGATGAGCCCAGGGCCACCTGCAGCCCCCAGACACTGGCAGAGGCCGAAAGGAGCCTCCCCTCGAGCCTGTGGAGGGAGCAGGCCCTGCCCACCTGGACCTCAGAGCTGCCCCTGGACCTCAGATGTCCGCTGTCCGGCGCCGGGGGAGGGTGATTCCCTCTGCTTTAATCCCACCCTGTGGCAGCCCTAGGAAGCTAATGCACCCGCTACGGAGCTGGCTTCCAGGCAGCTGTAGGGCACCGGGTGTCACATCCATGATGGGCTTCCCCAAACGCATTGGCGCATGTCGGGACCCACACGGAGCTCTGGGCCGGCGCTCAGATTCCCGGGTGGAGCGAGCCATGGGGTAGAAGCCTGGCCTCCCGGCCATCCCTGCGGCCGTGTCCTCGCCCACTGAGCGGGGTGCAGCTTCATGGCGTGTGTAGTCCTGACTCCAGATCCTTCCGGTTTCCCCACATCGTCCCCGAGGAGGTCTCAGGGAAGGGCTGAGCCCCTGCAGGTGCTGGAGGCAGTCCCTCACCAGGGCCACTGAAGCCCCAGAGCTTGCTGACCTGTGACTCCCAGGGGCGCGTTTCTCTGTATGGGGTGGCACCTGTGTGTCTGGCAGTGGGTTTCCCTGGGTTACAGTCCAGGTGCGGGTAGGGCTGCTTCCTTCCTGAGGCCCTGGAGGAGTCTCCTTTTTTTTTTTTTTCTTGCCTTTTCTAGCTTCTAGCAGCTGCCCTCATTCCGTCCATGCAGACGGCCCCGTTGGGTCACAATCTAATCAAGCTGCCTGCCTGCAGGTTCTGTCTCCTGCCCGTGTCTCTTATGCTTCTAGGGACCTCGTGATCCCATGGGACTCACCCAGATACGGAAGGGTCTTCTCCCTGTTTAAGGTCAGCTGGTGATCACTGGCAATTTGCATCCTGAAACTCAGTTGTCCTTTGCCAAAGTAAGATCTCTGGTCCTGGGGCTGGGGCAAGGACGGCTTTGAGGGGAGGGCAGTGTTCTGTCCATGGTACCGTGCTTTCTTCTCCTTATGTGTTGCCTTAAAGATGGCACCACATTGAGAGCGTGGTGGGCAGGTAGGTGCACTCCGGGCTGGCCCCCATCCTCCTCCAGTTACTTTGACTTCCATATGCGAGAGACCCCCCGCCGTATTACTAAACACCTGTCCCACTAGTATCCAGGAGATGTGCTTGCTCTGATGAGCTACAGATGCGGTACAAACCTGCATACATGCATGCGTGTGCATGCGTGTGTGTGTGCATGCACTTGGTCTGGGGAGGGGAGGGTCTCC